GCTAACTGATTACATTTCTGAATTAGTAAGATATATCCACTTAATTTCCGTATTTATTTATTTACTAGAAACAATAATGGTCATAAACTGGCAGAGGAGCTGGAAATATGGCTTTGTATCTGGAGTTTTCTCCAGTCCTGCCTGGCCCATGATCAGGACAAATCTCTCTCACCCGCCAGTCCCTCAGCCACTCAGGCCCAACTGAGTAAACACACAGAGACTTATATTGCTTACAAACTGTATGGCTGTGGCTCAGACTTCTAGCTATCTAGTTCTTACATCTTAAATTAACCCATTTCTATAAATCTATACTTTGCCACATGGCTCATGGATTACTAGTATCTTACATGTTGGCACTCATGGGGGCAGCGGCTGGCAGCATCTTCTGACTCAGCCTTCCTGTTCCCAGAATTCTCTTCTCTGCTTGTCCCGCCTACATTTCCTGCCTGGCTACTGGCCAATCAGCATTTTATTTATACAAAGTGATATCCATAGCATGGCTTGGTGGCTAAGAGTGCACACTGCTCTTCCAGTGGACCTTAGTTGATTCTCAGAAACCATATCAGGCAGTGCAGAACCCCCTGTCATTTTTTCACCAGGGCATTTGGCACACTTTTCTGATCTCTGTGGGCACTGCAAACATGTTCACATCCCATAGATACACACATACATATATATAGCTAAAACTAAACTAAAATCTCAAAAATACTTTGTAGAAATAGTACTGATACTCTGGCCTTAGTGCTATGTGTGTGTGTGTGTGTGTGTGTGTGTGTGTGTGTGTGTGTGTGTATAGTCACACAATACATGTATAGTGGCATATATATTATATATATATATATATATACACACACACACACACATGCATATTTTGATGTATCATGTACTGTGTGCAGAGAGGGACTTTGGAGAGTGGAAGGTGTATGCATGTATACTTTGACTTGTGTAACTTGAAGCTACTGACTACAATGGAGAAGGATATTCTAAGATCCTTGATCTTAGATATTTGATCTTAGATATAATTGATTTTATTTTGACATTAAATACACAACATTCATCAGATCTTGTGCATGTATTAATAGACAAGGTAGTTCCCAACTGAATATTTTTATTAATTATGGAAATGCTTGTGTATTTAATCTAATGTGTTTCATAGTAACATTAAACACAACTAGTTTGAGGCAGATAACCTAACTGGAACTTGGATTGACCCAACTTTAAACCCACTTTCTGCCATGATCATGATAAGAAAAAGGAAAAAAAATCCCATAGAAATGAAAAGCTTAACACCATACAGTAATTACACTATTGTGTTATATTTGAGACTTTGAAAGTGTGAAACAAAATGTTCCCATATAAGAAGTACACCTTGTGGAGTTTATCAGGCTACCCTGTGTTTTTTATCTCTTTAAACATGTTCTGAGCCCCATCATTTCTCTTTTAATCTTTAATGACTATAAATAAACAGCAAAGCAGTTCCAGTCTGATAAAACACATTCTGAAGACTTGTTTTCCAATTAATTAGTTTAACTTCTAAATTATTTAGTTAGGCTTCTAAAAGTAGAACTCCGTGCCACCAATTGCAAACTACAGCATCAGTGAATATTTTAAGACTGTGGGTTATTTGATTTATCCTAACTTGGAGTATGATTTATTCAAAAATGAAGAAAAATATACCTATTTTATAAATTTTATTAACTTTTTATTTGGGAGTAAGCTTGTTTTACTCAAAAACATATCATGGATCTAATCATGATTTGCCCTGATAGTTTTACCAAATAGAAAACAAAAAACAGAATACAACCACTTTTCATTTTTGAAGAATAATCATATATTAATATTAAATAGAAGCTTAACAAAATATAAATACTTGCATTTTAGTCATAAGTTATATTGACATCACTATATATTTTTATGATTTAATGCCTTTAAAGAAATAGATAAATGAAGAAAATCATATGGATATTTATAAGGAGAGAGTTTAATATATCTTCTTATCTTATACAAGAAGAGAAATACTATGATTCAAATATAGAACTGGACAATAATGTATATTTTAATAGGAGTAGCTTAGTTTTCAGACTGCCTCTTATCAGGTAATTGCATTTAAAACGATAAATACTCTTCATTATTTCTGTACTTTTAAACAAAATTATTAAAATCAAACTATGGGCTTTTAAGTAAATTAACAAAATTCGTCTGAGGTTCAGAATTCTCAAGATAGTTTCATAAGTAGTAGGGTGAGCATGAATTTCATTGTACAATTTCCAAATCACAGCATAAGTGAAGCTATCAATTAATTGTTTCCTTTTACTCCGAGTTTGTTCTTGGCACCTGCATTACTCTTTTATACACTTGAGAATGCCAGACGGTTTGTAATGGGCACCCAAAAAATCGACCAACCATCAAAACTACTGTTATGGACAGGGCATTGTAGAATAACTGCAGCTCTCTAACTTTTTGACCCTTTTGATCTCAATCGTCTTGTGTGAGCTGCTTAGAGATTCATCGAACACACAGGAAGAAATCTCTCAGAGTCAGCTTGGTTTGCAATAGATATAGATCTGGGAGAAATATACATTAATTTAAATATGTGATTCGGCCAGTCCCATCCTGTTTTGAAGGGATCTCATAAAGGGTGAAGATCAGTCATGGATGGTGGTGCACGGCTGTGATCTCAGCACTCAGGAAGCTAAGGCAGGGGAATCATCAGTCCCAACCCAGTTCCTAGGCTACATAGTGAGATCTTGCCTTAAAAACAAAAACAGTATTACTAAGGCATAACTCTTGGTTAAACTAATGCCCCTATCGCTCTTGTACAAATCACCAGGAGTCATCAAGATTGACAGTGGTGAAACATGTGTAAATAGGATCGTGTTTAATGTTTGGTATTTTTCTCTGGAGACAGCACCCCCTGCAATGCCAACCCCACATTTCTGTGTTATTTTTAGTGTAGAAAAAGTAGTTCTTCATTTCTCAGGGTTTTTTTTTTTTTTTGTTTCTGTACCATTCTTGCCAGATGGTGAGAGAAGAAAACAGCGAAGAGACACATATCAAGGAAAATAACTGTTGTGTGAAAATATTAAAAGTAAACATCACATAGAAAAACAGAAAATACATCCCACTGAGTCTGAATGTTTCATTTGAACTAGCACGGCTTTATAGTTACTCTCTATTGAAATAAGACAAGAAGAAAGAGGGCTGTTTTTATTCTATGCAAAGATATCATCCTTAAAATACAGTCAACAAACAAAACATGGTTTCCACATTTTTAAAATGAAAAAATGATGAAGTAGCAGTTTTTATAATGAGTGGCTTTTTACCAGTATGTGAAGCAGTTAGTAGAAAAGTATGCTTTGGTTTGAAATTCTAAAGTATTTCCTAAAATATATATTTAACCAACATGTTAAAAATATGTCACTAAACACACAAAAACACATCACAATGATAAGTTTGTGTCTCTGATATAGTTTAATTTTCTCAGCAGAGACTTTTATATCCTTTGAAAAATCCCATTTAAGAAAATCTAGTTGAATTATAGCTTTATAGCTACATTTCAGTATGGTTTGAGCTGGCGGGAAGAAACCTTTAGAGTGGACAGGTTTTTAAGATTTTCTGCAGTTTCATATGACAGTACAGCAGTCATAATCTTCAAAACACATGATTTCATTTGTGGAAGTAGTTACACAGCTTTTTTTCATGAGTGCTTTAGAATTTCAAGGTCTTATTTATGATCATCCACTATCATTATTTCTTGTCTATCTTTGAGCAAAAGTTTATTTTGCAAGTATACAAAATTCTTTTAGGGAATGTAGCTATATTGAAGGTATGGGTATGTAATACAAAATTATTTTTATAGAAGACATGAACATGAAGGAAATCATTCTTTGCCATCTCTAATGGCATCATAGTCCAATATTTATTAGGCAATATCTTGTTTCAGTCTGAGTTATTTGCTATACCATATGAAATTAATGCACTTTAAAGCTATGACCACCTAAAGTTCATAGATAATGGTTTACATAAGAAATGGATTTTTCCAAAGAGAAAAAAAAAATTTAGGAAAAAGTCTGAAATAATCAACTTCAAAGCTCTGTTGTTGCTAAAATACACTGGAAAAACACTTAGAGAGCAAAACTCTTTCCAATCTCCTCTTGACTTCATTTATACATTTTAAGAAATATTTACTTCATAGAATATTTATGAGCATGGAGAATTTAGACATATTTTGAATTATAACATATATACCCTTGTTAGCATCACTCCAACATCTGACCCAGTGTTTTCTCTGACCAACACTGTCCCTACCAAGTTTCAAAGCACTTTTGGTAATAAGCAACTCATTGCTCATACCCTTGTGTTCGGGAGATGTGGTGGTTTGTATCTCTCCCGAATACACATTTTCACTTTAGATAATAGGTTCTCAAACAGAGGTGATGTTGATAGATCTTTGACAACATCTATGGATATTGTTGTGGACAGAGACTGGAGATTCTGCTGCTATCTAGGGACACAGACCAGGGATGCTACTGAATATTGAAAATTTAGTAACCTCTACAACACATTTGTAAAAGCCCAAAAGGTCAACAGTGCCACTGTTAAGTTAGTCTTCTTGAGATAAAATTATACTCCACAGTAGTTTATTAAAATGTACTTTTCATTTACTTGTGAAAATCAGTAAAAGTAATTTTAAATATTCCCACTCCATTGTCTTAGTGTGTGTCCCTCATTCCTTATTCAACTTTCCAATTTGTTTTCACCAAATGGCATGCTATAGTTGTTCTTCTCCAAAGATTAATTGTATGTGCATGGTTTACTATTAAAACAAAACAAAACAAACCTGCAGTTTACAATGGAAAGGGCTTTATTAGAGCCCTGGTGGCTTTTTATTTGCTTTTCTTTGAAATGACTAGATTCATGAAGTGTGGAAAATGCCTCATGCAGCTGCTCTTTCCTTTCTCTCTTCATACTTTATTTTTATTTTTTATTCTGGTTGGCAGAACTCCACTGATTGCAGCCGGAGTCATTGGCGGGCTCTTCATCCTGGTCATCATGGCTCTGACATTTGCAGTTTATGTCAGAAGGAAGAGCATCAAAAAGAAACGAGCCTTGAGGAGATTCCTGGAGACAGAGGTAACATTTCCACTACTGTTTGTCCTTAACTTGGGGATTTTCCTAAAGTTTTGCAGACATGAATGATGCTCTGTTTCCTAAGACCATTGAAAATGTGGCTTAACTTATGATGAGTTTGTATGTTACACTTTTGTACAAAGTCAGTAAAGATAGAATGCATTAAAAAATTGTTAAGACAGGAGGGTTACAGCTTGAAGAGGATGGATTGCATTGGGCTGAAGAAATTATTCTGTTGAAATTTAGAAGTAGATTTATTTTGGTTGTGGAAACCCCATGAGCATCTCTGGGTAAAAGATAACTCATTAGCAGCATAGCCAGCATGTTCCTGAGGAGAGACATCTCAGTGGTAGAACTAGTAATATGTTAGAAATAAATCGAGCCAGGCGATGGTGGCACACACCTTTAATCCCAGCACTCGGGAGTCAGAGGCAAGTGGATCTCTGTGAGTTAGAGGCCAGCCTGGGCTACAGAGTGAGTCCCACGAAAGGCGCAAAGCTACACAGAGAAACCCTGTCTTGAAAAACCCAAAACAAACACACAAACAAATAAATAAATAAATATTACCTTATCGAGAGTACAAGATATATACATTTTAATTATGATTATTAAATTGGTGGCCAATTATTAATTACATCTGCAGTGAAAGGCTGAGGTTTAGAGCTAAAATAACACGAAACTTTTGACACAGTTGATGGGATGAACTTAGTATTCTATTACATGTTGAGGTTATACAATTTATCCATAAATTATCAGCATTTCGATTATTTTGTCACACTGGGTTCTTTAGCATGCATCTGGTAGTCTGCATTGTATAGGAGACAAAGGAAGAATTATCACAGAAGATTTCTCAGAAGCAGAGCTTTGAGTTCCATCCTATCTTGTTCTCCTGATATCCCACATCTGAATCTGCCTGAACAATTCAGAAGAATTCAGTGTGTCACTCTGAATATATTTTCTTTCTTGTTCTCAAAATGGCAATCTGGCTGTTCTTTCCCTCTTAAGACTATCTGGAATGGAGATACTCATCCTTTCATAAATGAGACATATTGGAAATGGGTTATATCTTAATTCTTTTTCCTTCAAAAGTTTCCAAACAAAAACCTGTTGCATGGCATATGCCAAGGTATAATATACCAACATATATTTCATATGCAAACTTAGGTATCACTTGCCCAAAGCGCTGAAACCTCCTCACCAATTATGCATGCGTTTTAAAATGATTTTTATATTAAATTGTTTGTAGAGGTTCATTTAAGTTATTCATCATAGGGCTCAGAAGACAGCTGAGTCAGTAAAGTGCTTGCCTTATAAGTATGAAGTATGAAGACTTGAATTCAATCTATAGATCCCATGTAAAAACTTAAAATGGTGGTGGAATGTGCTTATAATCCCAGGAGAGGTACAGATGGATTCCGTGGGATCACTGGCAGAATAGCTTCTTTTACTTGACATATTCCAAGCCTGTAATAGAATATCCCCCAAAAACGTGGACAGTGATTGAAGTATGAAACCTTAGGTTGTCCGCTGGACTACGCCCCATGTACACATGCATATGTATGTACACACACACACACACACACACACACACACAAACACACAAACACATTACAAATCATACATAGCATCTAAAAAATCTGGTGATAAACTCCTGTAGAGTGGCCTTCCAAGGAAAGGAAATCTCTGATAGAGAGTATATTTTTTTTATGTAAAATTCAATGATCCTTTCTGAGATACTCTTTCTAGACTTCAAGGAAATTCTTAATGACCTAATTTATATTTTTATAAAGTAAAATGTGAAAATGAGAGAATAGTAGATTTGTTGTCAAACTATCAGGAAACAGACTAATTTTATTAATAACTTTTAAGTGTTTTTCCTAAAATCCTTACTACATCTGTACCCGTCTGTACCCATTGAACTCAGGCCTGCTCCACTAGTTTAGCAGGCCATGATAGTCACAGAAACATGATAATAATGGCCAGGCAGGAGGGCCACAGCACAGTCAACCTTGTAATCAGACGATTTGAAATACCATGGTGGGTCTAGACAGTTTGAGTAGTAGTAGCCCTCAATGATTTCCTCATACAGAGAATAAAACTGGCTGTTTCTTGTTTAAAGTTTAGTTCCTTTTAAATTAAAAAACCTGTATTTTCAAAAACTTGTTATCTCTCTTATTTGAGCATAAATTATAACATAAAATGCTACCCATGGATGTAGACTTTGGGTGGACCAAAGCCCCTGAAGTCCATACAGCAGACCCCTTGATCCTAGTGATACAATCTAAAGCCAAGGGATGTCTTAGACTGTGAATAATACTGAAGTTTATATGTATGATGTTTATTCCTATACATACATAACTTTGATAAAGTTTGATTAATATATTGAATATATTAAATTACTTAGTTACTGTTGATCAAATAAATCAGTTACTTTAATAAAAATATTTTAAACTTACGATTTTTGTTCTGAAAACTTCTATTTATTATTTTCCAAATATAGTTGGACAAAGGTAGCTGAGATTTCAAAATGGGCGATTGTGGTTAAGGGGTGAGAACTGTAGACACTGCCTCGCCTATCACAGTGATGACCCTTGTTCACACATCTTTCCTTTGTTTGCTCAAACTCTTCAGCTGAATGGCATCCTAACTACAATATCTATAAATTTCAGCCTAATTTTGCATTTTGGCCACACTCAGTCATCTTCTTGACTTGCTGCTTCCTACTCCAATCTTACTGTTTATATTCATCTTATATCTGATGTGTTTTATATCTTCATCCTTCTCTCCTTCTGATGCTGACCCCAAACTCTACTCTATTGCAAGCAGCCTCTTAGTATCACTCTGGTGTCATGACCTCAATACTGACCTTAATAGATAGCTCTTTTGCCTTCATCCCCACTTATTTCATTCTTTATGTTCCAAAACATATTTACAGCCTAGAACCAAACTGTATACTCATCTTGCTACTTAAAATGAGTTCCTTACTCACCATCATAAATAGACACCCCCTGGTGGTCCAAAAACTATGCAGAATTTCAGGCCTCCTCAGACAGGAGTTGAGATTTGACAAGAACCTTGGGTATTTGATGATTGACTGCACAAAGAATCAGCATCATGCTAGCTAGCTATTATGCCTTTCTGATATGATCATAGTAGCTTTTCAATAATTGTAAGTGCTAATATGGGACTATTTCTGGTTTTGTTGTAGTTTGTTTTCTTTTATTTTTGTCTTTGTAATTAACACCATATCTTCTAACCATCATACCTCTAGTAGAATATGTGCAGAACTCAAATTCACCCAGACAAAGAACAGGTGCAGAGAAAGGATAGCACTGTGGCTGATATTACAGAGGTAGAGTTTGTCTAAGAAAAGTATCCTAGTATGCTTCCCTAAAAGTGTTAGAAAAGAACAGAGGGCAAGAAGCACAAGTGAGTATGGATGAAAGCTCCATAACCCTACTCCTTTGCTTTGCAGCTGGTAGAGCCCTTAACCCCCAGTGGCACGGCACCCAATCAAGCTCAACTACGTATTTTGAAGGAAACGGAACTGAAGAGGGTAAAAGTCCTTGGCTCGGGAGCTTTTGGAACCGTTTACAAAGTAAGTAAACACACAGTGCATGCCATCAGTTATTTGAGTCTTGTTTCAAGCTTTAAAAATATAATAAAATATAACAACCTCATGTCCTTTTAATATTCAAAGAGAAGAATCATGTAATATTGAGAAGCTGCTGTACAGATGAATTCATTAATTTTTCTGAACAAGCTTGTCTAAGTGCTATGTTTAGGAAAGAGAAGAACTGCAGGTACTTACTCAAGTGGAGTTCACTCAGTGCCCTTCGAGACCCTTTCAATATTGGCTTCTCTTTGGCAAATTTCCACTTGTTTCCCAAATACTCAGCCACAGCCTGCTGATCTTCACCCTAGTCATTGGTTTCTGATCTTCCAGAACTTTCTGGGTAACCTCCCACAATCCTTTCCTGTTCTTTCTGCTCTTTTATCCTAAACTCTGTCAGTACCCTACCAATTGATCACTTAAAATCCATATGAATGTGCTAACATATATGTAAGATCAGAAGATTATGAAAATTTTTTGCCTAACTGATTATATTTAGTATCTATGTTAGTAGTTTTGATGACCTTGCCATTTTGTAAAAAAAAAAAAATAATAATAACTATATGAGAAATTGAGATCAGAGAAGACAAAAGGATAATACCATTAATTTTCAAAGAGAGTTACTTTTGGAAAGGGAAAATTCAACTGGTGGTGTCTATATATTTACTTACTTAGCTAAATTACAAGTCTAATCCAGAGGCCAGCCCAACATTAACTGTGGTGAAATTTATTTTAATGATAAATAACGAAATAAAGAAACTCTCCTTGGTTAATAGTGAGGCTATTTTGTAACAGCCATTGGTCAATTCACAAAATTTACATTTGCAGCCTACTGTCTATTTCTAAGTGATATATTCATTCCTTATTTTTATGAACATGTGATTAAGGTAGATAGGATTTTAAGAATTTTACATTTCAAGATCTCAGTGTTTTCTATAGTTAGATGATTTAAGTTGATGTGGTGGTATAGACTTGTAATTCCAAACTTAGGAGTCTAAGCCAGGGGAATTATTTGAGTTGAAAAGTTTGAGACCACTCAAGACATTTAGTGAGACAGTGACAAATCAGTGAAAAAATGTCCCCAAAAATAAAACAATGATTTATTTATTAGAACAATATAAATGACTGTAATGCAGACCTAAATTTTCCTTTCCTAGGTGTTTGAAAATATTCTCATCACTATAAAACCTTCTAAGATCCAACTGCAAAAGTTCCCCTATCATTTTAGTGTGCATATTTTGTCCAGTTAAATCATTAACTGAGGGTCCAATTTGCACAAATTCTACTGTAGGCTGACTTCGTCTTTCTGATCTTCAAATTCTTTGTAAGTTCAAAGAACAGAAGTTACCCTTTATATATACTGAAATTATGCTAGAAAAAGGCACAGATGGTGTAATTTTATAATTAAATTTTGAATCTAATTTTGTCCCAATATTTAATAATTTCAATTTGTATATATTTTAATGAAAAATACACAAAAATATTTGCACGAATACATACATGATTCTAAATTCTGTCTTAAATAAAGATGTTGGAAGGAACTAATTAAATCATTACTGTCCTACTGCCTACCTCTTGGTATCACTTCATTACCATATATATATGCCTTCCAATCATCTATATAAAGATTCCCTGCCTTCCACTAGCCCAATGAACCATCTGATAATTGCTTGACATGTCATTTCTATAGGTATGTATGAGGGTTTCCTAGCTAAACTATAGGAAAGTCAAAAGAAAGCTCTTAGAATTTCCTTCCCTTATGATTCATGATAATCATTTCTACACATCTTATTAACAAAATTGAAAGTATGTAGACAAATGTGTTTTTATAGAAAATTTATTTTTAATTAACAAACTTTTTATTCATTCCACATACCAAGCACAGAAGACCCCTCCCTCATCCCTCCTCTTGCTCCCCCGCAGCTTTGTTTCATAAATTTATTTGAATTGTATGCTTGAAATATGTGTTGCAGCCCTATGTTTTAATAAACGTATCATGCATTGCAAGACATATTGTCTTAAACTATAAAAAACTATTGGTGGGTACACAAATGCCAATGACCTGGGTACTTATTTGGTCATTATTTCTTCCTAACTGAAACTATGCTGTGTTTCAGCAAAAAATATTAGGACCAATATGGGCACAAGTATAGTCAAATTCCTTGTATTTTGTCTATAAAGCAATGGCTAAACTTTTTTCAAAAGTGGTACAGATTAATTCACACTGAATTCATATTCTTATTTTAAAACTACACTTTAGGAATATTTTAATATTGATGCTGTTGCTTTATAAAGAAACTCCCTATGTGGTTATATTATTGAATAATGATAAGCACGTTCTCTGCCCTAGATACTATCTCTGATAAAATATAGCCTGGGGTTTTGGGTTCTTGGGTTTCCCTCCCCCCTACTTCTGCTTCAATACCCTTTTACAAAATTATACCACAGATAATTTATGTTATTATTTTTCATTTGACACATACATTTCCCTATTGACCCTGCTTAAGTCAAACATAACCATAAATCTCATCCCAAGGTTTAAAGCACTTTTCTTCACTGTTATTACTATTCAACAGCTCTTGGGTTTGTGTCTCCTCTATTACTCCAACTTAGGGTAATACAAACACATTTACTTAAGCCATGTATCCAAAGTGAAAACTTTCTTCCTATTGCTGTCACCTGCTGATGTTGAGAAAGAAGGTAGAGGTACAGCCTATAGCTTCTTCCCTTTCATCTTAAAGTTCAAACTGTCGTAAGTAGTCTTGAGATTCTTCCCTGTTATGGGCTCATAAGAGCGTCTGGATTCTTTTTGGACTATATGCTTTAAAAAAATGTCATCCTTAATCCAAGCATTCTTATCTGTCCTATCAAAATTATTGTCCTCATTTAGATGTTTAACTTTACTCAGAAACAGTCTTGTTTAATCATATATCTTGAAAGTCTATATTTTTAATATTGTCCTAATCCATAAATTCTGCAATTAAGTTGATAAGACCACTGAATTGTTGATGGTCAATATAAGTATTTTAGTTGTACCCAGAGACAAAAATAACTAATATATAGAATTTAATAACATAGATAAATTACTGTGAATTCCGTATGTCCTAGAACTTGTCCTTGAGTCTTATTTTCAAAATAATAACCTCTGAAATTTAATTCCTATTCCAACTGAACTTGAGAAACATGTTATTTTTCTTTTAGTTAAAGAATTGAAGCTTAAAAGAAATGTCATTTTTACCTAGTCATATTTTATAAGTTATTGTTTAGACATGAAGTTTTCCATACTTTGTTGCTAAACATAGCTATTCTTGAGAGTGAAAGAGTACTTAATTTGTCTTGAACTGTAGTTGGTGATGTCATCCAAATAAGATATAACTTATACTCTATCCTCTGTTAATGCTCTCTTCAATGTGCAAAGCTTTTAACAAGAAGCAAACAAATTAATCTTAAACAGACATTGAACACTATGAAAATAGAAATCATATATAATTCATCTGTTATGAAATTAGACCACAAACACGTACAACACATAACAGGTGCCGAAGAAAAGTTTATTGTTTAAAAGAAATTAGAACTCAGAGCATACCAATTGGTTGTCCAGTGCCAAATGGTCTGGTCTGAAAAAGTACATACAAGTAATATTATCTGTATTGAACAGGTTACATTTAAGAAGAAAATATATACATGCAATAACAAGTTATGAAAAAGTAGCCAATGAACTTGAAGGAGAGTGTGGAGGGATATATAGGAGGCTTGATTGGAGGAAAGAGAAGGGAGAAGTGTTGTAATTATATGATAATCTCTAAAATGAAATAATATAAAATTAGAAGTTGTGTGGTCAAATCAAATTACATTCTGCTATAAAATATTATGTAATCTCAATATAGAATTAATCTGATATTTTTTTCCTTAAAGGGTATTTGGGTGCCTGAAGGTGAAACAGTGAAAATTCCTGTGGCTATTAAAATCCTCAATGAGACAACTGGCCCCAAAGCCAATGTGGAGTTCATGGATGTAAGTACGCAAGCACACAGTTGTATTTTTGTTTACTATTAAATAGAGGGTTTGAAAATAAAGTGACAAAAAGACCAACCACCTTTCAAAACTTCTTCTCTGAAAATGTAATAATCTCATACTTAGAGTTTTAAGATCCCTTCACATTATGTTATACCTTTCAAATCATCCCTAATTTGCAGCTGTCTGCTACAACTGTACTCTCCGATTGCTTTGGGAACACAAAGATATTTATAATTCCCATGTTGAATTTCCTGCTGTGAATCAAGCATGTGATTTTCATTTTATTTATAATTTGGATAATAATCAGACAGAAATGAATTTATTAAACGCAGTTACAACAGTATCAAAACACCTGGCTGGGGACAATAGTAAGTCATTCTTATAAGTCATTCTTTATAAGCACTGCCTTATTGAGTGCTTATAAAGTACTAAAACTGTTCTAAATATCATTGACAAAGTCTGCAATAGGTTCCCAGCAGTGTTCTAAATAACTTACAAATAATATTTTGTCTCACTTGGATGATGAAACAGATCAAGTTAACCCAAGGTTAGCCCAGATTGCAAAGTGGACAGATGATGCCTAGAGACTTTCAATTCAGTCAGCCAAAGCAGAGAACAATAAAGATTTACCTGTCTTGTCTTCACTGTGGCAACTCCTCAGCTCTGCCCTTTCTGGTTGGAAAGCAGGCATAGGTAATTAAGACAAAACAATTTGTGAATGAATCTGAGGGACTCCAACAAAATATCCAATAAACAAGATGGGGAACGTGTTTGATTTTAAGAGCAGACCCAGCTCTAAGGACCACAGGTGCAATAACCACAAGAATGGCATTTTGGGAGTTGGAGAATGCTTGGAAAAATTAATCAGGATGCTTTACTTCTTGTATTTATAATTTATTGAGCTAACAAACAACCAAGTTAGTGTTCCAGTTAGTCTTTCCTATATTTCAACAGGAACCTAACTAAAACTTAAGTTCTCAAGTGATATTTACTCTTTTCAATTCAGATTCATCAAACAGGACTATGGTAAAAGCTTCAACTATAGAATAAAAAAAAAAGGGTGAATGAATGAAAGTACTTGATGAGGTCAATCAGAACTTGAAGATTTCCCTCAGCAAAAGTTGTAGATTGTGCTGTTCGAATTTTAGGGAGAAGGGTGGAAAAAATTATATGTGTAGCCTGCTGTTATTTTTTTCATATTGAACACAAGATATCTTACTAGGGATTCTGGAATAGATCCATATACATTCTTTCTCTGTCTTTTAGCATAATGTCTTCAATAATAATAAGAATGATTTTGATTTTAAAGTGACCTTTACAGGAAAGAGGATGTAAGAAGCATATGCACTTTGATTTTTTTTTCAAAACAGATTGCTATATATTCTTAGCCAGTCTCTTTGGAAAGGTCCTTTGCAGGTTTAAAGAAACTCAGTGTATGACCTTGAGAACCTTGATAATAATGCTAACCATCTTTTATGATGCTATTTTAGCTTAATTTGTTGTTAATTATTGCATAGGAGGACTGAGAATGATACAAGCATGCAGCTCTGGAGAATGGTCTCTGTGTGTATCAGTTGCTAAATAATTAAAATGCCACCCTTCTGGCCTCACTAGCAACACTTGTATAATAAGTATTACTTATACAATAACCAAATCTTTTTCTGCAGGTAGTTAAAGGTTATTACACTCCCTGCAGCCAAATGTCTGCCTCCAATGTTACTATTTAGAATTGATGACTTTTTCAATGATGCCCTAATCATTCAGTTTGACCCAGATCGTAGCTTCATAGTTTATACTCAGGGAGGAAATTTTCAAATTAAATAGAAATTACAAAGAAAACTTACAGTAAATAAAAAGTGGAGGTTCATATATAAAACTGATAGAAGATCAAGCTTGGCCACCTTGAGCTACAACCAAAGCTGTAATTCACAAGAATGCTAATAATCTCTGCTGGAGGCTTGGACAGTCATATTTCCATGGAAACAGTCTGGCAAAAGGGGGTTAAGAGGCTACAAAATAATCACGTAAAAAAGAAGCTCTAAAAACCTCATCATGATTTCGAATGATTATTTGAAAGCTCCTAACCCCATTCATCCACCCTCCTCCCCCTTGATCTGAAGCCTATTCCCATGGAAACGGGAGCAGGGCAGAAGCTTGAAGTCTTAGCTTCCTGTTGAATTTCAGATGAGACTCTGATTGAGCCATGAAAGGAGTCATTTTCCTAGATGGGTGATGGATTTGGTAACTAACAGACATACATATACATATATTATTTTCTTTTTAAGATAAAAAATAAGAATTTCTTTTTTGATATGCCTTTCCTACCTTTGGATAGATGCTAGAGAATTAACAGCTTGCTGGCTGTTTTGAAAAGTGCAAGGTAGAAATATTTTCTACTATCTTGGTGACTTGTTTTAAACTACTGGAAGGATAGTATCACACTGAATAAAATCATTTTAACATCAGCATTGATGGTGAATGAAATTTTTAAGTAAGTTAGCATAACTTTCATGTAAACATTTTGTACCTTCATTTATCCACGGTGTTTGCAGAGCATTTTAAGTATTTATGAGAGCTCAAGCCTAAAGGGAAGGTCCATGTAAGCAAAACTGTATGCAAGTTGAGCCACAGGACAGAGACAAAATGACAAGGCATCCAGTCATAGTAAAAGCAGTATGTTTGATATATGTCTTAGTCTGGGGTCTTCCAGAAGCACAAGCTGCTCATGAAATAATTATTTGAGTAGAAGTCATTTATGCTAGAGTTGACTGGCTCATCATTAAAAGAATATGGAACTGAGACAAGATGACTACTACCTACCACAGTGATGCCTGTGGCCTCTCTCTGTTGGAGAAGCTCCACAGTCTAGTACTACTTGTCCTACTCAAGGGTTAAGAGTTAAGCCCTTATGCTATTCTCCTAAACTGCATTGGTTTGACAGTTGCTGGGAGAATGAGAGAATTAGATCCCTTGTGCCATCTCTATACTGTTGTTTCGTGGTTAAGGAGAAGGGGACCCTTAATATCTTCATGACTGACCTGTTGAGAATGGCAGAAATAGGCTGCAATGGCAAGAAAAACCACTTGGCAACAAGAAGTGCCTGGGCACCAGCTAGTGTAGCAACATGATAAAGTGTCCAGGAGAGCTGTTAAACAAAAATAAGATTCTCCAAAAGCATACCATGCATATCTTGTGCACACCAATGTCTGCGTGTATTTCTTTTTATGTGTGTATATATTTTTTATATATCATTGGATTTAAAAAAGCTAAAACTTACAAAGAAAATGGAAACTATAAACACCTATTAAACATTAGCTTCCTTTACATTTAATGCTGTTTACCTCTATAGCAGAATATTACACATTTTATAATGATGATATGAAAATGAATATATATTTATGTGTGTTTTGCTGTTTTTTATAACAAATTACAAAAAAAAAACCCACTGCAGCTTAATAATCAAAATTCATCACCAACAACTAACACCTCTATTGATTTCCAAGGACAAAGTAAAGACTCTTCTATTCTCTTTAAATTTTTACCACAAGCAGAAAGTAAATCAGGGGCAGACAGTATTTTATCAAATGTTTCACTAAAAGCAGCGGAAGGAGAATTTGGTCACAGGGCTGCTACTTAGCTCGCCTGAACATGTCTAATGGATTCATAATGACAATAATAACATGCTGCTATTGAATGGCCAGTGCATTCTTCATTCCCATAAAGGAAGATCACATTGAATGACATTAAGGAAAGGACTCTAAAGGTCTACCTTCATAAGAAGGATGCCCGCATTTATAGACGCTCTTAATTTTTGTTTCAAGTAGTGCAATTTCTCTTGGAAAATGCAAGCTGCTAGGAGGTTTCTTTGGGTTTTTTTGTTGTTGGTATTTTGGTTTTTTTTGGGTTTTTTTGTTGTATTTTTAAAAAATACATCAAATTGTGTAGAAGATACACACTCAAGACCCAAGAAAAGAGTCCTGGAAAATGAATCAGACTGTTGGTTTGATGGAGTGTCCAGCACTCTTTTTTTTCCCAGGATATCTAAGCTCATTATCTGTTGAGATTGCTTTAAAATGTTTTAACAAAGTTATTTGTTTTCTTAAAAAATAAGCTGGGAATGGAAGAAATTGTATAATTATGCTAAATTCTAGGAATGGTCTTCCAATACAGGCTCAGAGCTTATGTGAATCTGCTTGGCTCCAGGTCCAGCTTTCCCATGCTACATTTACAATACAGTTCATGGTCAGGTGATTCTGGAAAAGGTGTTTCATGTGACCTTACTGTATTGTGTAAATTGCATCATTTGTCAGGGAAAAATTATTTTCTTTTTGCTGCACCACAAGGACTTCTATTTATCTTACCCATCTTGGTATTTTACTGAAGTAATGTTCACATGATTTTTGTTTATCCTTTCTGTATTATATTTGTGATACTCAGGATCTTGGTGGGAGTCAATTCTTCCAGCTCTAATTGATGTCATTATGTGAGTGGGGTGAGAAACATATAATCTATTCTGATTATAGCAACCTTGCAAAATGATGTGAAAATTCTGGTTCTGCTTTTTCACATTACAAAATTTCCTTTGTGTGAGTGCATATTGTTAATGATGACTTTTAGAGTCTGCATCATATTAACCATTTAATGATAAAAATTCACATTACTTAATCCAGTTACATATTTGTCCATATAAATTTCGTCATTTTTATATATTAATTCAATTTGTAAATTTTAGAAGAAAACATTCCAGAATTTTTTAAAGCCCCATATTGCAGGAATGATCTTCCAAAGTCAGTTAACAACAATTATTGTCCTTAGGAAAAAATATAAGTAATAAATAATAAATAAAAGTAAATAGTTCTTAAAGTTCTGGAAATTTTCTTTATTCTAAAAATAAAATGATGTCTTCCCAGAGAGAATATAAGACTCCATTGAAACAGCAGTTTTCATCTTTCGATACCCTATTTAAAAAGTTAAAAAGAGAATCATCCTGGTGACTA